CCATGCACTTAAATACTACTTACCAATACATAAAAAGGAACAAACAACACACAAAAATATGGATGAAGCTCAAATACATTACACTAAATGAAGGAAGCCAGACTCAAAAGGCTACATTCTATATGATTCCATTTATACAATCTTCTAGTAAAGGCAAAACTATAGGGGTAGAAAATAGAAAACAGGCTGCCAAAATCTAGGCATGGTGGTGACTACAAAGAGGCCTGGGAGAATTCTGGGGGAGCAATGGAACTATGCTATATTGTGTAGGTGGTATTTACATGACTGTATGTATCTGTCAAAATTCCCAAAACTGTACATAACAAAAAGTGTGAAATTTACTGAATACAAATTAGACCTTAAATTAAAAAAAAAAAAAAAGAAATCAAAACAATAACTCTGGATCCTTGTAAAGTGATCAGAATGAAAGGGGGGAAGGTTAGGAGCTATTATAATTCACCAACAGGAAAATGATGGTGGCTTTTGCAGGATGACAGAAATAGAGAAGGTGACAAGTGGTTAGGTTCTGGATATATTTTAAAGGGTAATGGATATAACCTGCAATGAATAAGATATGGAGGTTGAAAAAGAAAGAGATCAAGGATGACACCAAGATTTTTTTACTTGTACAACTAGAAAGATGGAGCTAATATTTACAGAGATGTGGAAGTCTGGGAGGAGAAGACCTTGGAAAGGGGTGAGAATTTAGGCCTCGAATTTTCGACATATGAAGTTAGACAGGTTTATAAAATATCCAGGTTAAACTGTTGACTACACAGCTGGACATTTATCTGGAACACAGAATAAAGGTCTGGTCTATACGTACACTCATCAGTATATCGATGCTATTTAAAATCATGAGACTAAATACTATTACCTGAGGAGTTACTGAGGATAAGAAAGAGAAGAAATTTGAAGACTGAGTCCTGAAGCAGCCAAAGCTTGGGGAAATGGAGAAGCACCAGCAAATAAGACCCCGTGAAGCAGAAAGAGAACTAAGTAAACAGTGCCTAGGAAGAAGAATGTTTTTCAACGTAGAGAGTGATTGATCTAATGCTGATGTTACGTAAGATGGAGACTGATCTGACCCCTCTTAACCATGGAGATCTCTGGAGGCACTATCAAACACTGATTTGGTGTGTGAAGGGCAGAGGCCTGTTTTGATCAGGTATAGGGGATAAATAGGAAGATAGATATTGAAGATAGTGAAAACACCTTCTTTATGCCATAAATTCTATTTTACCAATACTAGTTCTTTTTATTAGTATCATAGTTTTATAGCATTTCCCATCATTTTGCCTATCAATCTTTCTATATACTTATAACTTACAAACACTGCTCATCAAGCCATGCTGTGGCAGCATCTCACATATAAAATAGAGGAAGACTGGCACAGATGTTAACTCAGGGATAATCTTTCTCACCAAAAAAAAAAAGTCGTTTGGTAACTATATGAGACTTTACTTAAAGTGCTTAATCAGTTATAACCTAGGAAGGCAAAATTTTAAAGAAACATAGAGCTGAATTTTCTTTAAATTCAATCCCTAATTGTCTTTCAAACTGAAAGTTAATCTATTCAACATTTCCTAACAAAGCAATATATTGGATTAATTTCTATCTTCTTAATTTTTGCTTAATTATATTTTTTCTGTTTGTGTTTTTAAAAATTGGAGATAATAGCACACAGAAAGATTAATAAATTTATATATAAATTTAAAAATAAAGTTGATTTAGAAACTAAAATGAGAACAAAAATTAAGTATGGAAAAAATTTAAGCTTTCCAAAACACTGTATTCAAAAACATCATTTGGGGCCTGGCCTGATGGCATCGTGGTTAAGTTCACACACTCCACTTTGGCAGCCTGGGGTTTGCAGGTTCAGATCCTGGGCACAGACCTACACACTGCTCATCAAGCCATGCTGTGGCAGCATCTCACATATAAAATAGAGGAAGATTGGCACAGATGTTAGCTCAGGGATAATCTTTCTCACCAAAAAAAAAAGTCGTTTGGTAACTATATGAGACTTTACTTAAAGTGCTTAATCAGTTATAACCTAGGAAGGCGAAATTTTAAAGAAACATAGAGTTGATATCCACATACCCACCAACTAGACCAATACACAATTCCAGATGTGCAGACTGTTCAAATGGGATTCCTTCCTTCTCTCAGGAGTAAACCATTGTATTAAATTTTTGTATTAACAATTCTCCTTGCTCTTCATGGTTTCTATGTGCTATGCATGAATCCATGAAGTTTATATTTTATATGATGGCATTACATTGAGTGAACTCCTTTTTCTCTAGTTTATTTTATACATCCACTATTTTTAAGATTAACGCACCTTGTCACATGTAGCTTTAGTTCATTCATTTTCCACTGCTGTACATTTTTCCTTTATATGAAATATACCACACCTGATAATCTACTATAAATGGGCATTCTTTAGTTTTCATTTGTTTTTTCTATTATGAACAATGTTACTGTAAATGTTCTTTTGGTAAACATTTGCAAGAGTTATCTCTTGAAGTGAAACTGTTGCATTATAAAATGGTATGTCATTGTGGTTTTAACTGGCAAATCTCAGCAAAGAGGATAGCATCTTTTCATATGTACTGGCCATTTGGTTCTTCTCTATGTGAGGGTCCAGTTCATGTTTTGTTTACTAATTTTTATAGATGTTAATCATTTTTCATATTAATTTTTAAGGTTTTAGATTTTTATCATACTAATTCTTCATTACTTTTATGCATTGCAAAATTCATCTCTTAATTTGGGACTTTGCTTCTCTCTATGATGTGCTGAGGAGCACAAATTATCAATTTTAATGAACCTAAAGTAAACAAGACAAAAAAATCTTGTAATTAGACTGAATGTCCTTAGTGGAATATCCTAAGAATTTAAAAAACTTTAAAAGTATAAAGTTTTAAAAAGTTTAAAGTTTAAAGAACTTTAAAAGAAGTAACTTTCAGTATTCATAGTAATGTTATTATTTAATATTATTGTTATTCTGAAACTGTTACATCATAGGATAAACAAATACTTCTGTTATTGTGGTTAGGAACAAAGATTTTTTTTCATGTAGGTAAAAAGACAAGATCAAACCAATTAAAATTAAAACCTTTAATCCTAAATTTGAACAAAATATCAACAGGAAGTCATAATGTATTTTTTCTTAAAAAAATTTCCAAGCTCTTTCAATTGAAAAGGTCTAGAAACAATGATCAACTCAGTAGCAACTTGAGTACTGATAAAGCTTAACATCGTGCCAGCTGGCAAACGAGAAAGTTAACAGTCCAACTCCATCGTCACAGAACAAAGTAATGAAAGGTGGATTTGGAGCTAAAAGTTAATAAAATGATAACTGGGACGGGTATCAATAAGAATAATAACTAAAACAGAGTCAAACCCATTTAATGTATTTACGAGATAACGATAATTTAAAAAAAAAAGAAAAAAAACCAAACCTCACTGGTCACCAATAAAGGATGTTAGAGAACCAGCTCATTACTGTGAAAACTGATTAACAAAGGGAAAGAATTAAGCATTTATTCCCTCTCCTATAAGAACTCTATCTCAGGATAAACAAATAGTCAACGGAAGTTCTCTTTATGGAAGTATTCTATTGATTAAGTTAAAAAGCAATGATAAAAATAGAACTGTCACTATTTGCAGCCCCTTGTAAAATAAAAGCTCAAAGCAATTATTATCAATGGCTACTAACACCACAAAAAGAGATGATAGAGAATTATGTGCCTCCTGGTAGAAGTATTCAATACTACATATGATATATTCTTGCAAAAATCTGAGCCTCAATTTGATCAAGCCTCTGTATCAAAATAACAGTTATAAGAAAATTCAGGACCAGAAAACAGGTTGAATGAAACCACTGGGATGTAATCAGCAAAATCCAGAACATGAGAAATTCTACAGGACAAACAATCCAGTTTCTTCAACAGTAAATTACGAGAGAAAAAAAACAGTATGAACCTATAGACTAAAAGAGACATATCAACCTATTGCAATGTTCGGAACTTATATGGATCCTGATTTTTTTTAAAGTAATGAATGAGGAAATTTGAACACTAACTAGATATTTGATATTAAAGAATTACTGTTAATTTTAGATGTGAGAATGGTACTGTTATTTATGTGTTAAAAGAGATAATTCTAATCTTTTTAAAGACACATACAGAAATATTTAGGGATGAAAAAATATAAATAAAATGATTGGGAGTTTGCTTCAAAGTAATCCAGTGGGAGGTAAAGAGAATGAGCGGAGTGAGATGAAACAAAACTGGCTATCAGATGATTAAGCAGCTAATGGGTAGTAATGGGTACATGGGGTTTTCATTATACAATTTGCTCTATTTTTGTATGTTTGAAGTTTTCCAAATTAAAGGTTTTTCTTTAACCTGCCTTCAGGAAAGACTATAACAAAATCAGTTACACTTGCCTGAAAATATCAGATTCAGTTTATGAACCTCCCAAATGTATTTACATTTTCATATAAAGCTAAGGCCTTAAAACAAAAGAATGACGCTAGTGGTGTATTTAAAGGCATCAGCAAGTCAGTGAAAATTTTTTTCATTTTGAGAAGAGAAACATTCCCAGCAATCTCAAAATCAAATGAGACACATAAAGAACCAACCAATTCTGCCTATTTTTAAGTAAGTGTCCAGGTTTGAGCATGATCTGGTGTTATAATAGATGACTCTTAGGTCACCTCTGTGATACCTGCCTATTCACCAAGAGTAAGGTGGGCTTCAAACATCGTCCATTTATGACAAGGCTGTCTTATCAAATTTACGATCTGTATTTTTAAGTCTCTAAGATGTTCTAAAGTTCACCAAAGGATAAATAAAAGTTGAATTTTAAAATTCTAGTCTTTTACCAAATACCTAAATGTTTTCCACAAATAAAAAAGAAGCAAACTTAAAAAATAATTTAGAACTGCTTTAACACTATTCAGACACTGACACAAAAGCAGGTTTACATACCTTGCCTGGACTGTGAAGGTGCTACAGGAACTTCTTGATTTGGCTCAAAAGGAAGGTCAGGTGTTAGGTTTTCAAACTGCTCTTTACTAATGAGATTTAGCTTCTTAAAGTTCTCAACTTCTTGCTGAAGTAGAATGGAGGAATCTAATTACTAAACTGGCTAATAGAGTAACCAACAGACAATAACTGATACCAACCTCAAAAAATGAGTTTTAAAACAAGGATTAATTACCATAGAATAAAAAAGATGTTCTAATGCAGAATCTAGCATTATACTTAATATTCGGAGTCTAAAAGAAGCATGGAGAACCCTGAAATATTATGAATATTTTATATTTATAAATATTCATAATATTTATATTAAATATTATTTATAAATATATTAAATATTATGAATAGTTTATAATATAAGAGCATACATTCTAATCATTAATTTTATTTGTCAAGCATTTACACACAAGATCACACTAGGGTATTACAGAGTTACAAAGTAATCTAATACATGTCCCCTACCCTTAAGGAATTTACAAGTTAGATGGAAAGAAAGAAATGTACACAAAAAACTAATAATATTGGGCAGTATATGAAAAGTGATAATATTTGCTATAAGGATTGAGATCATCAGGAGGCATCACAGAAGAGATGGGACAAAAGCAGCTCTTGAAAAATGAGAATTTAGAGAAAGAGAAAAGCATTCTAAATTAGGTAATGTGAGCAAAGACGAGAAGCTTGGAATAAGCAATCATGTATTAGGAAATAATTCAGTAAATGAGAAAATTTGTGTAGAACTGGTAGCAAAAAGGCCTGATACGGAAGCTGGAGAAAGCTACTCAAAGACTAGGCCAAAAAGTTTTCACCTCATTTTCCAGTAATGGGAAAAGTGATGAACGATACATCTAGATGGCCCTGGAGGTTCATTTCCAAATCTCTTTTATAAGCTTAGCAGCAAGGAGGCTCAGTGGGTCTGAGTTGCTAGCTCAAAGGAAGAATAGGCCCATCCCTGGCCCTGGGTCTCCTGAAGCTTCCCCTTTGTTACACAGTCACTTAGATGGTCCCTGCCCTGACCTACATATATGTAGAGTATTACAGAGATGGAGGCCATTCTCTGCTCGAAGGTCATTTGGCCATGGGGCATGAAGACCATCTATGCCTGGCCTAAGCTGTGGAATAAAAAAATAGTTTGATGGACTGCTCGCACTCTACTACTTCTTTTAAGTTTCCCCCAATAAACACTACATCACATCTATACCACTCAAGTGCTGATGGGTCCATGACCCTTTACAGAGCAACATCCAAAGAGGGTTTAAGCAGGTGAAAGACATAACAAAACTATTTGTCAGATGAAGCAAATTAAATATCATCATTACAAAATAGTTGTAGTACCTTCCTAACAGCTAACCAAACAATCTTTTCCTTCTTGTCTTCAAACGTGAATAGTCGCTCACCAGCTCACACCATTTATGGGATCCTATTAGCCTTTTACACTAGGATCTATCTTCTTTTCATGAAAATGCCTTAAATGCCTATTTCAGCTCTTACCCCTATACCGACATTGCTTTCCTAAGTCTTCAACAGGCTCTTCAAACTAATTCAGAGTCATTATTCCTCACTGTCCCTCATCTTGCTACAGTGCTTGCTATTAGCATCTCCCACTTCAATAAACACTTATTGTATGTTTACCACATGCCAGAGAAGAAAAGCACAGTTCTACCCTGATGGCAACACAAACAGTATGTTTCTGTTTTGTTTTTAGTTTTTAAAACTAATTCATTAAGGTATAACACACACATACATACACATACACACACCAAAGAAGTGCATAAATCATAAATATACATCTCAATGAGTACTGAAAAGTGAACAGACCTGTGTAACCCCCATTCAGGTAAAGATAATATTACTAGCACCCTAGAAGTACCCTTTATGCCCCTTCCCATCACTCTCTCTCCCTAAAGATAACCGACAAGAGATTTTCACATATTGAGGTATACGGGGTAACTATTCGGGTTCAAAACTGATTCGGCTTGAACTAAAGAAGCCTGACTTATGGCCTATCAAACACATACTGTGCATCTGCCTTAACCATTAAAGTAAAGAATGCACTCTCTTAAGAATGCATATTTCTCCTCCTACACTCTATCGGCAACACCTGTATTAGTCCCTTTCCTAACGTCTGGGGTCATGTTGACCTGCTAATTTGCAACTGAATACCTCTTTGAAACTTTGAATATGTATCCTGGGCATGTTGAATGTATGTTCTTTGTTCTAAAAAGGTATAAAACTGTACTGAAGGCATGCTTCTCCAGAATGCGTTCTTCCTTTCCAGAAAAGGCCTTCCTGGATTATAATCCTCACTCTGGCTCAAGTAAAACTCACCTATCTCTCTTATCTATAGAATGGTTATTGGTTATTTTACATCAACATAACCAATATGCTGACTTCAGTACTATAGATTCCTTTTGCCTGTTTTAAAAATTTATAAAAATGGAATCATAATGTATGACTTCTTTTGTGCAAAATTATATTTATGAGATTCATCTATTGTTTGTGGCTCTACAGCAGAGGTCAGCAAACCACAGCCCCCAAAGGTCAGTCTGTTTTTGTAAACAGTTTCATTGGAACACAACCACACCCATTTGTTTACATATACCATATGTCTGCTTGATTGTTACAACTGTAGAGTTGAGTAGTTGCCACAATGCATGACCCACAAAGCCTAAAATATTTACCATGTAGCTCTTTACAGAAACAGTTTGCCCATCCCTGCTCTATGATATTCTATTGTATGATCATACCACAATTTTTAAAAATCCATTCCATTATTGATAAGCATTCGGGTCCTTTCCAGATTACAGCTATTACAAATAAGGTTGCTATAAATACGTTTTTATAAAACACATCTTTTGGTGAACAGAGACACACATTTTATTATTTACTAGGAATGGAACTGCTGAATCAGGCGGTATGCTTCAATTCAACTTGAGTAGAAAATGCCAAACAGTTTTTCACACTGGTCGTACCTTCATACATTCCCATTAGCAGTATATTAAAGTTCTTACTGCTCTACATCATCATCAACACTTGGTATGGTCAGTTTTTAAAAATTCAGCCATTCTGAAAAGGACCAAACTATGGATACACACAACAACTTGGATGGACCTCAAGGGCATTATGATTAAAAAAAAAAAAACAAAACTCAAAAGGTCACACGCTGTATGTTTCCATTTATATGACATTCTCAAAATGACAAAATTATAGAGATGAACAGATTAGTGGTTATAAGCAGTTAGGAATAGTGGAGGGGAGGCAGGTGGTATGAGTCTAATAGCACAAGGGAGATTTTTGTGATGATAATAGTTCAGTGTCTTGACTGTGATGGTAGTAATATGAATCTACATGTGATAAAATGACAGGGAACTATATACACGTGTGATAAGAAATGTCAATTTCCTGGTTTTAATATTGTGCTTAGTTATGTAAGATATACTCTTTGGAGGAAACTGGGTGAAGGGCACACTGGACTGCTCTGTACTATTTTTCCAACTTCCTGTGAATCTATAATTATCTCAAAATAAAAATTCAAAAATTTTAAATATGTAGCCATTCTGGTAGATGTATGTGTTATCTCATTGTGGTTTTGATTTGTATCTCTCTGATTACTTATAATGATGAAAATCTTTAATATATGTTATTTGGATAGCTTCTTTTGTGAGATGCCTATTCAATTCTTTGCTCATTTTTCTATAGAGTTGTCTTTCTCTCACTGATTTGTAAGAGTTCTTTATAAAATCTTATAAGTGTCTTCTTCCACTCTGTAACTTGCCTTTGTACTCTCTTATGGTGTCTTTTGGGGAGAGGAAGTTCTTTTTAATGTGGTGCATTTTATCAATCATTTCCTTTACTGTGTTATTTCTTGTTTAATAAATCTTTCCCTACTCAAAGATCATGAAGATAGTATCTTACCTTCTAGAAGTTTTACTATTTTGCCTTTCACATTTAGAACTACAATGCATCTAGAATTGATTTTTTGTGTATGGTATAAGGGTCAATGTGCACTGGAAAAGAATATGTATTCTGCAGATGTTAGACGCAGTCTTTCATTTATGTCAATTAAGCCAAGTTTCTTAACTGTGTTGTTCAAATTTTCCACATCCTTACTGATTTTTCCACATCTACTTGCTACATCATGCACCTTTCTTGATAAGAAGGGTATATTAAAATCTCCCACTATGATTATAAATTTGTCTATTTGCACCTGTCAATTTACGTCTAATGTATTTTGAGGCTATGTTATTAGATGCATACGGATTTGTGTTTAGTGTCAATATTTATTTAAATCTACACATGTATTTACCCTTTCTATTGCTCTTCATTCCTTTCTGTATCTTCAAGCTTCTTTCTGGAATCATTTTCCTCTGCCTAAAAAACTCCCTTTAGTATTTTCTTTAAGGTAGATCTGTTGAAAATAAATTTTCTCAGTTTTCATGTGCCTGATATTGTTATTTTACTTTCATTTTTAAAATAGCCTCGTTGAGATATAATTTACATATCATAAAATTCACCTATTTTAAGTGTACACAATTATTGTTTACCTTGATTCTTCAACACTAGTACCCTTTCAGTACTATGATTACACCCTCCCATGTCTCCTGGCTTCCGTCATTTCTGCTGAGAAGTTAGCTGTAAGTCTTACTATAGATGCTTTTAACCTGTCTTTTTCTCTGGATTTTGTTTTTTTTTTTCCCAGCAGTTTTATAATGATGGCCTTGGTGTGGTTTTCTTTGTATTTACATCCTTTGAAGTTTTTAGAACATCTTGAATTGATCCTTTGCTATCTTCCATCAGTTTTGGTAAAGTGTCAGCCATGATCTCTTCAGATATTACTTCTGCCTTATTCTCTTACTCCTCTTTCTGAGAAGCCAATCAAATGTATTTTAGACCTTTTGACAGTATCTCCTAGGTCTCTTACCCTCTTTTCTGTATTTTCCATATTTTCTGCTCCATGCTTCACCCTGGACTTTTCTTTTGACCTATTTTCTAGTTTAGTAATTCTGTATTCAGCTGTACTTATCTATTGTTAAGCCAATCCATTGAACTCAGTTACTCTATTTTTCATTTCTGGAA